CTCAAGCCTCTGATTCTTAAGGCGTATTCCATTTGTCCATATTGAAGCATAAGAATCTCATTTTCCATTTCTTTTTCCATACTTTCAAATTTTTCCTTCATCAATTCCACTTTTTCTGCTACCTCTTCCACATGGGAATTCAGCTTTTCAAAAACAGAGGCAACTCCTTTTAAAGCCAAAACTATATCTTGCCTCAAAATCTTATTATTTTCCTCTAAAATCTCTTTCATTTCTGCCCTAATTTGAGATATAACATTTCCCATCATATCTTGCAGATCCTTCACCATTATTGGCTGAGCCAAGGAAGAAGGTGAGGCTATTGATTTAGGAGCTGTAGGAATCCCTGGACACTTTGGAGCCATCTTAAAAAAAAATCTTTACTCCTTCTTGAGAATTACAAAAATTAAACAAAAGAAAAAGAGAGATTAAATCCCAAAAAAAATTTCAAAAAATCCTTCAAAAGGAGGTCATTATAGCAAAAAAAAAAAAAAAAAAATACTAAACACTTTGGGGCCACAAAAATTAAACAAAAGAAAAAGAAAGATTAACTCCAGAAAAAAAAAATCAATAAATCCTTCAAAGGGAGATCATTATAATAAAAAAGGGAGAAAAAAAGGAAAGAAAAGGAATTAAATAAAAAGAAATCCATTCCATTTTTTTAAAAAATACAAGAAACAAAACAGAAAAGTTAAACAAAAATAATAATGCCTGTAAGATCCAAAAAAACTGATCGCTATCTTATTTTCCCTTTCAGCAAGAAAAAAAAATCATTAAAAAGAAAAAGAAAGGGAAAGGAAAACACCAGGAAGCCTGCCTTTAAAAGTAAACAAAAATAATAATGCTTCTAAAATCCAAAAAAGCCGATCGCCATTTTATTTTCACTTTCATAAAAAAAAAAAGAAGAATAAAACATCAATTCCAATCATTAAAAAGAAAAGAAAAGAGAAAGGGAAAGAAAAACACCAAAAAACCTACCGATCACCATTCTAACTTCCCAAAAGGAAAAATAATAAAAAAAACGCCGGAAAGTCTGCCGATCGCCATTTTACTTTCCCTTTCAGCAAAAAGTAAAAAGAGGGAATATAAACGTAAAAATAAATCTTTAAACTAAAAATCCATATAAAGTCAAAGAAAGTAAAAGCTAATCCTCCAGTCAACTCTGTCCGCTTCTAAAAAACTCACCAGATCTCTTTAAACGCGGAGGTGGTTGCAACGGCTTGTTTTGTCCCTAAGGACAAAAGCAGCAGGGAAGCGGAGACAGTCTGAACTCCGTGGGAGCACTCTTTTCACCCCCCAAAAAATATTGGGGGTGTATAAGAGGCTCTACCACTATTCAGACAACCCTCTTCCCCGCCCCTTTGCCCGGGAGGGGGATTTTGAACCGCCAAACAGCTGGTGTCCGCTGTTCATAGCGATTCATTACACTTACCCAGGAGGACGGCTACAAAGTAGCCGCCATCGCTGTGCAGATCCACCGGAAGCCTCATGTGATCACTTTTTGTGACCTTCTGACAAGTAAAGTCAATGGGGAAGCACTTTGACTTTGATGCACTTAACAATCATATTACTAACTTAACAACTGTAGTGATTCGCTTAACAAATGTGGCAACAAAAGTTGTAAAATGGGGCAAAACTCGCTTAACAAATTTCCCACTTAGCAACATAAATTTTGGGCTCAATTGGGGTCATAAGTTGAAGACTACCTGTATTATGCTTGAATATCTAGTTCTCATACCATCTCTTTAGAGTTGTGGAGGCAATCTTAGGTTAATAAATCCTAGTTTTCATTACATTTTAATCAGAAAATAGAACAAGGGTCCTTAGTTATCTGTATTTTTTATTTATTAACCTATATTTCAAGGCAGCAAATAAAATATAGAAGTTATTTTCAAATCCTGATATAAGAAACTTGTAATAGTTTCCTGACTTAGATCAAACAGGGCATTTAATCTATTCCTATTACATCAAAAATAGATGATTTATCCCTATTCATTGAGCCAGTTTTATTTTAATGATGCCATAGAAGCCTAATTTTATGTATTTCTGTTGTCTTTAGTTATATGATGGCAGTAATGAAGATGCCAATTTAGTTGGAACCTTCTGTGGCTCCAGTCGTCCACCTTATTTTCTTTCCACTAACAATTTCTTGACTGTTAAGTTTGTCAGTGATACACTGTTAGAAAGAGCAGGTTTCACTGCTACCTATACTACTGTAGATAGTAAGTAATTTTAAATTTCTTCTGAAATGGTTTTTTGAATAAATGATTGGTTGTTTAATTTGAATAATATAACCAGAGAGTCTAAAAGTGAGCAATTAAGAAACTTAAACAGAAAAAAAAATCCATCTTCTCTGCTGAGTCTTTTCAAAGGTATATCTGAGTGAAGAACAGTAATTGTAAAATGCTTAAAATTCTTGGATATAATTTTGGTGTGGCTTTTAGAATTTTCTATGTAACAGTGATTATTCCATTTTATAGCTTCTTTCTTTTTCTTTCTCTCCTTTCTTCCTTACTATTTTAGTCAAGTCCTTTACACTGAGTATATCTAGTGAGTTTTATTAGTTTGTACATATTGTACTTCCAAAACAATTACTTTGCTGTTACATTATAAACTTCTAAATTACAGTACTATACTTACCAACTTGCAGAATCAATTAAGTTGTTATGTTGTTGCTTCTCATAGGACTTTGTGGGGGTTTCTATAATGCCACTGTTGCCATACACACTGCATCATCCCCCTATTTTCCAAATGCATATCCACCGCTTACATTCTGCAAATGGATAATTGATGCCCCTTCTAAGCAACAGGTCAAGCTAGCAGTGCTGAAATTCCACCTTCAGCCCAGCCAAGATTGCTCTCAGAACTATCTAGAGTTCCAGGATTCACCATCAGTAAGTCAGTCTTAATACCATGATTGCTAGAAATATATTATTTCATGGATTGAAAAGTTAATAAAAAGAAATCAAAGGTTTTTCTGTGAGTCTTGCCGGACTCTAGGGCACTGTGCTCATCCTTGTTTCTTGGCTGATGGAAATAATGTCATCCAAAAACAATTTCCATGATCATGTTGCCAGTATGGCTATATACAAAGGCACACAGAACACTGCTACCTTCCCACCAAAGTGATACCTATTTATCTACTTGCATTTGCATGCTTTTCGAACTGCTATGTGGGCAGGAGCTGGGGCAAGTAATGGGAGCTGGCTCCATTGCAGAGAACTTGGGTCTCAAACCCAAGCTGTCTTCAGCTCTCCAGCTGACAACTTCAGTGTCTTTAACCACTGAGCCATTGTGCCCCCAAAATATAATATATTTTTACCTTTATATTAAACTTTAATATAAAGGTAAAAATATGTTCAAGTTAAACTTGTGCCTCAGTGATTTCATGGAATGCAGATCTGCAGTTTCTCAATGATAGTAGAAGCAACGTGATTCAGAGGGAAATAGAATATTCTGTAGTTCTCAGAGAACAGTCCATTATTGGATCAATGACTTTTTCACATCCCTATAAAGTGGATCTTTTAAGAAGTGATATTTGTCAGAGCCATAGTAAAAAGGTGGAAAATTTAAACACTCCTTCCCAAGACTATTCATTTGTGTTCAAATGCTTTCTCTTTACCTCTAGTTTGGCAGTGGTAATATGGGAAAAAAGATGCAAAGATTTGGTGGGGTTCTTTCTAAACCTATAAAAAATATACAAAGAATTCTGCCAAGACAACAAGAAGTGCTTATCACTATCAAGTCTGGGAGAAATAATGACACGAATAAGGATTTTATCACAGAAATTTAAGTATTAGAAAAGGTAGAGGAAAAAATGGGTTTAATTTTTGTTAATGTTCGTGAGCAATCTAGTGCTAGAAAAACTAATTTGTCCATGGCTATGCACTTGATGGGTTCAATTTTACTTTAGTGACTTATTATACAGTTTAGTGGGAGACTGGCAAAGTCCCATAATATCTTGAGAGAAAAAAGATTGGGTGATTTCAGCCTAAAATTAAAAAAAAAACAAAAAAAAAACTAAAATAGGATGATAGAATTCTAGCGAGTTCAAACTTTGCTTTATCTTTTGTGCCTGACAGATTTTGTGAAAGCACTCTGTCATGTTCCCGAAGAACAAAAATAAAAATTACTGTAACAATAGAGGGCAATTTGAATTGGATTCTATTGAACCCTTTTATAAAGTTTCATCACTTTACATTTGTACTTCTGTCATATTTCAGGGAATTCAAGAGCATATTGATCGTGTCCATCGATTCTGCGCTTCTGATAACTTTACGGTCCTAGATTTTTATTCTTACAGGCAAACTGCCACTGTAATTTTTAAATCTGATGTTTATATGCTTAATAATGGATTCCAATTCACCTATCAAGCTTCAGGTAAAATTGCCATACTGTTTCTTACAGGCATTAGGTTTCATTAGCACAGAATTATAGGAGAAAACATTTGTCTGACATAAAATATGAAAATCTAAAACAAGGGGAAGAAAAAAAGCTAGATAAAAATCCTGATCTTGTTCCCTTGATCTCAAGAATCTCACAAGCATAAACACCCATGCAACAAGCATCTTTAATTTCAAGATGCTTGCAATGATAACATTTCATACATACATCTTTTCACAAAGTTGCTTTAAGCTGGCCTTGGTTAATGGCATCGTTCTTTTCATTTAATAGCCATAACATGGCACTACAAAAATGAAGAGTTTAAAGATGTGAATGTACTTTTGAATTATATATCATATATATAGTGTGGAAGCTGGAATAGGAATGAATTAAAATCTAATTTTGAAGAGTGGTATATAAACTTTAAAAATATTTTTAAAAAATGAAAATGGAACATATTAAAAATAAAGAAATGTTTGTTCTGTATCCTATTTTAGGTTGCAACAGAGAATATAATCAGCCATTTGGTTATTTGAAAAGTCCTGGCTGGCCTGACCGATATCCACACAACTCAGATTGCACAATTATTCTACGATCCCCAATAAATCATATGATCTCTCTCTTTTTCAGTTCCTTTAATTTAGAGGACCTTGCATGTCAATATGATTACTTAGAGGTATGAGGAATATTTGCACCGTAAAGAACTGCCAATAATATGATTCTTGTCCCACTATTTTCTGATCTTCTCTTCTTATCTTCATGTGCTTTACTGAGTTCTCTAGAGCATTTGTTTCTTGCACTTGTTTTTGTCAGCATTTTCCTGAAGAATAAAGAGGGAGAAAGAGAGAGAGAAAGTTACAGTCAAACTTTCATAAGTTTATTGATATATAATTTATACTGGGAGTTGACATTATGGTACATGTGAGTTATCTACAGAGTGACCGCAGCCACCCAACATTGTTCTTTAAAAAAAAAAAGCTAAATGATCTCTCTAAAAAAACCTCTAAATATCTTTCATTATCTTGCACAAGATGTCATCAAATTTCAAGCAACAATGCTATTATGCAACAATATCTCACACCTGGCAAGATTGCTGAGCCACCACAGGATAAATCGGTTCTGTTGTTGATCTTGAGATTGGAAGCAACTTTGATGTGACTTTTATTTTTGTACTACCACCAAGCCCAGCCCTACTTTGGCCAAAGTAGATGTAGTACACTAAATTGCATTTATGGCCTTAATAGTGTAAAAGCACACTGCAAGCAAAAGGAGCATGGTCCAGATTGATGAATTTTACCAACACTTTTTTTAATTGGCCCTACCTAAACCTAGGGCACAGGTCGGCAACCTGCGGCTCCGGAGCTGCATGCGGCTCTTTGAGCCTTCCCCTGTGACTCCCAGCCTCCTCTGCCATTTGCAGAGAGAGACAGAGACAGAGAGAGGCACTTGCGCTTCCCTGCTTCTCTGTCTCTGTGTTTATGTGTGTGTTTGTGTTTATGTGTGTGTATGTTTAAAAGAGAGTGGACTCATGGTGTTCTCCGAGGAGATGAAAATCTTTTTGAGCGTGGCTCCTCCCTTTGCTGCATCTCTGCAGGAAGCAGGAAGGGCAGGAGAGAGCTAGCTAGCCCAGCTATACTGACTCAGGAATTCTGGGAATTGAAGTCCATGAGTCATAAAAGAGCCAAGGTTGCCTATCCCTGAGCTTGTTGGAGAACAGCTTGAAGCCAGTTTGCCAGGTGAGCAGAAGATCGGAGAGAAGGAGAGGAGGGGAGAAAGAGAGAGAAAGAGAGAGAGAAGGAAGGAGAGAGAGAGAGAAGGAAGGAGAGAGAGAGAGAGGAAAGAGAGAGTGGGGGAAGAGGACTGGTAGACCAAGGGCAGAAAGAAAGAGAGGGAGAGAGAGGGAGGGAGAGAGACACAGAGAGAGACCCTTTTGATATCTAAAATGAAGATAACACTGCATATATCCTTTTTTACCTTTATGATATATATGTGTGTGTGTGTGTGTGTGTGTGTGTGTGTGTGTGTGTGTGTGTAAATATATATAAATATATAAAAAGTAAAAAAGGATATATGCAGTGTTATCTTCCTTTTAGATATCAAAAAGGTTTTGCGGCTCCCAGTGTTTTGTTTTTGGTGGGAAACGGGACCAAGTGGCTCTTTGAGTGTTTTGGGTTGCCTACTCCTGACCTAGGAGTTGCCACTCATATATTAACTACCAGAATTGCCCCCACTCTAATTCTGTCTTGAATCAAGGAATTAACCTACTATTGGGAGAAAAAAGATTTCATTGCAACATACAATGGAATCCTTTTTCTGTTCACAGCAAATGCTGGTCCTAGATTCAAATTAGCATTACTATTGGAAGCAGAAAGTTACAATCTTCTGCCTTCCACATTTGATCTCAATTTAAATTAGGTTATTCATACAGTTGCTAATTCTTTGAACAATATCCCACCAAGTCATGCTCTAGGAGAGAGATGAAGCCAGAGTGGTTCTTAGGGCCTCTTGATACATAAAAAAAAAAATTCAGAATAATCTTGCTTATCAAGATAAGAGTTTATCAAGTGATAAACACTTCTAATAAAATTACTGTACAAATTTTAAAATAGGGTGAAGGAGTTTGATTAAGTAGTGAGATTTGTTCAATCAGTCAAAACTTGGCAAATCAAAAAATTTGAATCAATTGAGAAAGTCTTACTGATTACCATCTCAGTGTTACTAACAGAATCTTTGTATATTCTTTTAAAGGTCAGAAATGGTAGTGATATAAACTCACCACTGCTTGGCAAATACTGTGGAAATACTTTACCCAATCCTATATTTCCTAAAAACCATGTTATATATCTACACTTCAAAAGCGATCACCTACTTTCCCATGAAGGATATGAAATTACTTGGACTTCATCTTCAGCTGGTACCAAAAATGTTTTTTAAGTTTTGTCAATCAAACAATTAATAAATTAACCCACCAACCAATTTGGCTGCCACTTAAACTTGTTGGGGCAGCTTACAAACTAAACGCAAATCAGAAACAACTGGCAATAATTATTTGAGACTTAAAGTAAAACATAATCTGCAAAATATTAAAATGACATCCACAGGGAAGATATATAATTCTCCAAATCTAGACTAGAATGGGCCTTTTCATGAAATTCAAAGAACAATTAATCTTTTCTCTGTTCCTAGCCTGTGGTGGTATCTTATATGGCGAGTCTGGTTCAGTTGCCAGTCCAGAATACCCAGTTTCTTACCAGAATCAAACTGACTGTGAATGGATAATTAAAGCTCCACAAGGAAGGATTGTTACTGTTAATTTTGCTTACATCAACATTGATGATCCAGGCGACTGTACTAGTAATTACTTGAAACTCTATAATGGACCAGACAGCAGTTATCCATCAATTGGACCATACTGCGGATTGGTAGGTTTTTCTTTTTCGGAATTTCTAGTGAAAGCTAGTTTGGTAAAGTAGTTATGGTATCAGACCAAGAGTTCTGGTCCTGCCTTAGGCACAGAGCCAATTGGGTTACCTTTGTTAGACCTTTATTAGAACACCTAGTATTACAATGCAAATATTGAAAGAACAATGGAAAAGCTAAATATGTAAGAGTATGGTGAAACTGTAATTTCCTTTATTCTTTATATAAGTTATAAAGAACCTGTAACAAAATAATATTTTCAAAATATTAAAGTGTCATAATTCATGATTCAGAAATGTCAACAATTCGGTCTCAGAGTGACATGTCTTCCATGCTAGAAGTCATGCTTTAAACCAAAGTGGATCTCTGAGACATCTCACTAAGCAGTACAACAATACATGTTTATTCACATCTAAGACCTTTTGCATATTATTTAGCCTGCTCCTTTGAAAGTCTTTTATTACTATGGCTTAACTCACACCAAATAGATAAACATCATTCTAAAATAACAAAGGAATCTAAATAATCATAACACTCATTTTTAGTTGTATTTTAGTTTAGTTTATCTTTAAAAAAACACCCTAAAATAAGTTGTAACATTTTTTTTTAAGAGTTTGGGTTCAACATATTGGAAAAAGTTACCAAAGGGTGGCATAAACTTTTGTGTTACAGACCCTGTCCTTGCATATCTATTTACCTTGAGTGATTCCATATGTACTGGCTTAGTTTTGGATTGATAGATTTGAATTCAATTGATGCTTAATTTGGAGAAGAAAAATAAATAAACCAGAGGGTGCATTTATCTTTTACTCATTTCTCTCTTTTAATTAAAGTGGTTCCATCTCTTCTCAGGTAGAACCAAACATATCCACACAATTGCAATATTTGAAAAACACTCATGTAAATCATAGGTTTTGTAGTGACATCTAGTGGAAATTTTGCCAAAATTATTTTAGAATGAATTTTCATTGTGCTCGATCTTATTCATAGCTATTGCAGTTTTAAAACTTTATGATTTATGATTTAGTGATCCCTGATCCACCTAATTGTGGCTTACTCAACAATCCCTGGTAAAACTATGGTTTTGCAATTTTGAAGGTATACTTTGTTAAATATTGCAGGATTTTATTTTAAGGCTTTATTTTCTATTAGCAGCAGCATTTATAGAAACTTGCCACTTGCATCAGAATGACAAAAGAAGTGTTGTGAAATGCTGCAAACTGTGGCCCTTTAGTATCTCTGTACAACAGACATGTCAAACACAAGGCCCGGGGGCTGGATGCGGCCCGCAAAGTGGTTTCATGTGGCCTGCGAAGCCATCCTGGAAACAGTGAGGGAACGGCCCCTGCTGCCTTGGCCCTGGCTGGCCAGAAGCCAATGTACAGTTTTATGGTGGCCATCTATGCTGAAATGCATTCAGTCTTAGCTCCACAAGGCCATTTGGAAACAGCAAGGAACCAGCCCCTGCTGTGTCGGCCCTGCCTCCTGGGTGCATGCTGGGGAGGTATCACTCTTGGTGAGGAATGAAGAAATGGACCATGCCTTGGTGCTTGCCCCGGTCCCACCCCCTTCTGCCAGACACTCTTAGATCTGTCCCACTCCTGCCCAGGTCCCCACAGGCACCCTTGATGCAAATGATGTAGAGCTGGCCATGCCCACCCAGTAGGCCACACCACTACATCCACACCCACCTAGTAGGCTGCACCCACCCCGGCCACACCCACTCGCCCCACCTGAGGGCAACCACAATGCTGATGCGGCCTTCAATGAAATTGAGTTTGATACCCCTGCTGTACAACATTACAAAAGGAGAATTATTTCACCATGACCTTGCTTTCACTATTCTGTCCCCACCTACTGTATATCTAGATGTTGTTGCACATTAAATATGAGAGATGATTTAACAAAGCTTAGCTTTTAGTGCTTTTTAAAGCAGCCTTGACTTACTTTAAATAATTTTAAAATATGCTTTACCTTAAATCAGTGTTGAGTTAAAGATCTGGTAAAGCATAAATGTTTATCTATAATATTTTGACTAAACACAACTGCTATAACTATTGCTAAGCCATACATCACAGTTACAAACAACCAGATAAATTCACACATGAACCACATCCAACCCCCCAAAATATCAGTTTGTAATGAATGAACCTATATCCTAGACCAGGCGTCATCAAGCTGCAGCTTATGGGCCACATGTGGCCTTAGACAGCTAGTAATGCAGCCCAAGATTGTAAATTTTTAACGTGATTTATATATAGTATCTATATTTTTTATGCGGCCTAGGACAATTCCTCTTCACTCAGTGCAGCTCAGGTAAGGCAAAACCCACCCCAAGGACTATTTAACAAATTGTAATAAAAGCATAACATAGCTTAATATAATGTAGAAAGTGTGCTATTTATTAACTGATAGCAGCTTTCTGGGTTCTAAGATTGTTCTCTTTAAGTCTTATGTACAAATATTAGAGTTTTTTTACTTTACAAATATAGTTCATCAATTAAGTAGAAATAGCAGAACTCTCAAGGTTGGGCCCAAGTTCTATTTTCTTTCTCCTATCTCTCCTATCCATCTGAATACTGAACAGAGCTGAAAAAGGTTTCTGTAGCACATGTTGACTATGCTTGAAATTTAGAAGAATCACAAACTTTCTGCTATGGAATCCATTTAAGTAATTATTGAAATAGCCTTGGATTAAAACCATAAAAAAACGTGATCGGAAATAATTTGTTTAAATATTTTCTCATTTTTAGGATACAAATATTGCTCCATTTACAGCCATGTCAAATCAAGTATTCCTCAAATTCCATGCAGATTATGTAACTCACCCATCAGGATTTAGACTGACCTGGACTAGCTGACATAATTCTCTCACGGAAAACACTCAGCACTTTCTGTTCTGAAGAGACTTCCCAGAATACAAACTTCTTGGTGTTAGTAATAAAATTATTTGAAAACAATAAAATTGATACTTGTTAAGAATCATTTCAAAGAAATGCATATATCTTATTTTTCCTTAGAAAATGCCATCAAGTAAAAGAGATGCTTTGAAGCAAATTGTTCTCTAATAAAGCTTTTCTATATGTACTTAAATAACGCTGGGGAAAAAGTAATTAAAATCATGATTTAAAGTCAGACCACAAGTACAAGCACAATTTACATTTAGATTAGCTCAGGATCACCAGAGGCTTTCTAGGTGTCAACATAGAGTGACCTTGAAAAACTGGAGCACTGAAAAACGGAAAACCTAATCCTAGGCTGTATGTGGAGACCATTAGGAAATCTTAAGGACTCTTGGCTAAACTGGAAAAAGAAATTAGAAAAAAGTAAAATAAATTACTTATTGCTATTGAGAAAGTATTAATCGCAACAGATTTGAGTAACATTAGGTTGGAGGAAACTGGTTAAAACATTGATAAGACACAGATTTATATAACTTGTGACTCTCAAGGCACATATCTAAACTACCCATTGATTTCTGATTACATTCCTATTTTGTTTTTCTAATACAATATTTCTAATAAGGAAGTATATTCTTATAAGATAGCATTATGACTATTTTAGGTTAGTTATACAACTGAACTATACAATTATATAGATAGGTCTGAAATAGCTCAAAGTACAGATGAATAAAATTCTTTAAAAAAAATTAGTTTATATACTGCAAATCATGTGTTGTATAACAATGATAGCACCAAGAAAGGCTCTACCTTTCTTGGCCTTTGAAGCAATACAAGTTTTTCTTCTGTTCCCATGGAATGAGCTTCTGTTTCAGTATCTGAATTAAATAATTTTATTGGAGGTTATCCAACAATTACTTCAGCTCAACTAAAGGCATAGATATTCACTGTCAGACGTATTACTTTGTTCTTCTGTAAACATCCCATATCCATGCAATAAAAGTATCTCATGTCTTAAATTTTCTTTATTTCCAAAATATTTTCTATATGAACACATCTAATCAAATGCTCCCTGGTCTCGTAGAACAAATTAAGAGTTCTCTGAAACATACTTAAAAATAATTAGTTGAGTACTATTGAACAATGAGGCAGTTAACAGTGAGATAAATAGAACGGAAGAGTGACATATACCAACTGCTACCTGTTCCTTGAATAGGAGCCTTGAGTCTAGGATGCTTTTGCCATTGTCACTATACTGAATATCCAACTCCAGTATCCTTCTGTTTTGCTATTGTCCCATATAGAGACCTGTGGGCACCCGGGATCATCTTCACATTTTAGTCACCCTTTGCTGGAAATTTATACCTACTATACAATCATGGCTTTGCTTATCCCTCTCGGATATATTCTCCTGCCATACTACAGGGTTTTGGGGCAGGACACCTCCTCCATTGACCTAGGCACTAGTACTTTCTGATTAACATTACCTTGGGTGTTATATTATAAATACCAAAAATGTGAAATGCTACATTTTCCAGTGTCCTATTATTTGTTGTTTTAAAGCTGGTAGTTGTGAGCTAGAAATTACTCACATGACACATAACATCAAAGAGTTATACTTTGTTTTTATTATTAGTTGCTGAAAGCTCACAAGTTTGGAACAAATGTTTAAAGATTAAGTCCCAGTAACTTATTGAGTTAAGTTTTAAGAAAATGAATAATTGTAGAATCAGGCAATAAGTAATCATTTGGCAGCTTACAGTATTCATTTACTTTTATAATACACATTTGGACACTAGAAGTGATCATTTCGCCATTGTATTTTTGCACCAGATGCCACGGCAGTACAGTACATTTTTCTTAATTATGTCTGTCAGTGCTTGAATCAGTTTTTTTACATGCATAGCTATTAGATGAAAGCCTCAAATGTTACTTTCATGTTCCAGTATTTAAAAAGATCTTTTATTCAACTAAAACGTAAAACATAAAGCTAGAAATTATGATTGTTCCTAAACAATACATTAGCAATTTTTTTAAAGTTCACTAATTAAATGAATTGTGTTTTGCAGCAGCACTTTGAAATAAAGTCCTCTGCCCTACAAATCAAATTATCATAGAAGCAAGTGAATGCCAGTAAGAAATTATTTTCATACAAGCTTGCTTTTTCAAAGAAATACCTATGCTTAAGTTGAATGTAATATGTAAGTAATAGAGTGTGCAGTTTACATTCTGCCTTGCATAAATCAGCTGAAAGCATAATTAATACTAGAACTAATTATGTAGATCTTCACTTATAAAAGGAAGTCCTGACTTAGCAATCTTTTAGAATGTTTGAGTATCAACAAGCATATGAAAAGGAGGTTAGATGGAGAGAGATGAAAAAGAAATACAAATATCATCTGGAGACCAAAAACATGTTTTGAAACTATCCCTACTAATTTTTTTTAAGAAATTCAGTTTTCTTAAAATAAGAGAAGTTTAAAATAATAAAGCATAGGGTAAACGGGGGACAGTTCTCACAAATGAACAATTAAGGGAGCAGTTTCAGAAAAGACTGCTCAATCTTGGGAAAGAGGAAAGAATGAGAAAGAAACCCAACATAACCTCATATTGATCTATTTGAGCAAAATGGAATAACAAGATACTCTGATAGGTTTTCAAGTTTCTGTTATACCTATAACAATAAAACATTCCTGAAATCCCGGTAGCTCCTTTGTCTTGATCTTGCCTGCTGAAAGGACTGACAATGAAGAACAGAAAAAAAATAGCCACAATTTAAGAACAGTGCCATATCATTTTGGCTGGCAGCCTATGCTAAGCATCCCAGAACAAGTAGCAGTGATAACATTAGCATCCCACTTTTAGTTTCCTTATCTTTCCTAGCATTATCCCCACAAAAGCACTGTGACATAATTGGGATAATTTTGATAGGCCACAAATCACCCAATAGCTAATCCTCCTTCTGTTATGTATTCAAGATGGACAGTGATTAATATTTATGTGTTAATTACATGTAGGGGTCAGGTCTATACATATGTTGTACATAATATGTTTAAATGTGTGTAATGTATGTTTACACTTTGAGAGCAAGCAACTAAATTTAATTTTTAATGTGTGCCATTGTGCCCACAGTAAAAAAATGACAATAAAGATTATCTCAGCAGCTCCCAAACTTTTATATGCCCCGCACCCCTAGAAACCTTCTGATATATTCTCACACCCCTTACAAAAGTTCAAAGTAACTGCAACAAATTATGCATATACACTATAATTTTGAAAACCCAAGTTTTTGCACCCCCTGCAATATCATCTTGCACCCCTGGTTGGGAGCCTCTGATCGTTCTATCCATCTATCTATCTTTCACAACAGAGTAAGTCTACACCATCATGCTACCTTTCACAACTCGCATGGAGAGCCACTGAATATAAACGTTTCATTTCTGAGAAGACAAAAATAGGGTTATATTGTTAATTGACTTGAAGTTATAACCGTGTGGCTCATTTTTATATAGATGATAGCAAGCTAGATAAAATCCAAAACAGAATATAAAGCTGCAAGAAAACTCAACTTTCAACAAAAGGCTTAGATATGAATCTTTTTAAATACAAAGTCTATTCTTAATTTTAGGATATCTGTTTTATATCATCAACACGCATATACTAACCCAGTATTCCTCAATCTTGGCAGTTTGAAAACTAGCCTATTTTCCTAGCGTCAGCAGAAACGAAGTACAATAAGTGTTAGTGTAAGAAAGAGACCATGTTCAATCTGATTGCACTGCCACTTGCACATGTAAACTACCGCCTCCCACGAGCCAATCTTTTTCAGTTCGCCCCATACCGCAGAATAAATTTGCAGGGACTTCCAACAGCAGAACAAACGGCGCTCGGGTCTTCAACTTATTCGCCCGCTTTTGAGATCTTCCCACCAATAGCAATCGTACAAAAGTATAGGTACTTTGGGATTGGGTAGCCGCCGGCCGCATTTTCTGAGAGACGGGAGGGCCTTTCTCTCTCCCAGGCAATTCGCCTTACTTGGAGCGGAGCGTGTCCGACTCTCTCGAACCCCCTCCTTTTCGGGCGCTGGATATTGAAGCGCCTGCGCACTTCGAGGAAGACAATGACGGGACCCGACGGCGGAGGCGGACCTTGTGCAGGGTGTGTGCACTGAAGTCCGGGGGCTGTTCTGCTTCCGTGCGTCTGGTGCCTCCGATCTTCTAGTCGCTCTTCACGGTAAGTTGCTGTGCTCTCCCCCCCCCCTTTAAACCGGGAGGCCTCCAACGCCTGAGCATCTCTAACCCCTTGGAGAAATTTCTTATGGTGCTTTGGCCGCTTGAAAGTATGAAGCGGTGGCCTCGCCCAAGAAATAATTCCCTTCAGAGAGCAAGCAGTAATAAGTAGGCAGTAGTCAACAGGTATAGTTATCCCCATGCCTGGCTTTTGTGAAAGAAAGGTTTTACAAATGGATTTCTGCCTAGGATGAAGCTGCTTTGCCCCATTCTTCAAAAGGTCCTGACGGTGCCATCTTACATATTGTCTCTTTTCTCTTCGGAGCTGAGAGTAAAGTTAGTTCTGTGTCTTTCTTCTTCTGGTAATGATAAGATAGATCATGGCCATTTGGTCGTGTAAAGTATGGATATAGTGATGCTATTCTTTGCCTTTGTGTATTGATGTATGGCGTGTATTTATTGATGAGACTTGACATGTTCTTACTGTTATAAATGCTTCTCAGTCTGTCCTGAGACTTCACTGCTTTACTTTTTCCCCCTCTCTTCTTTCTCCAACTATTCCCATCCTGCCATTTGATGTTGGGTGTTGTCTCCTGGGAACAATAATATCAAAACTGGTGTGAGTTGTCCCAGGAGACAGAAAAGTTGCATCCACTTTTATAATGGATAGTTGAGAGGCTCCAGGTAGGTTTATGATATTTCTTCAAAATAGTTGCTTTCATTAATCTACCTCAGGTTTCTTCCCCACCTAAAAATACTACATACATTAAAATCTGTTTGACATCCAACTCTGAACAATTATGTACGCTCACTATGATGGCTGGAGCCCCACATCATGTTAAACTATATTTTGATTATTGTGTCTTATAGACTAAATCAGTGATGGCAAACCTTTTAGAGACGGAGTGCCCAAATCGCAACCCCAAACCCACTTATTTATTGCAAAGTGCCAGGGCCATATCAGCATTGTAGTGCCCTCAGGGGGGGCAGGGAGGAACCTCTGAGTGCCGCCTTTGGCATGCAAAAAACGGGGGCCCAAAAATGGGCCACCGTGCTGCAAGGTGCAAAAATGGGTGCTGTTGTGCCATGGGATACAGATACAAGGTGCTGCACGTAAGAACGGGGCAGGGCTACTGAGTATCACGCAGGCACTAGCCCTGCCCCATTTGCAGCAGATGCTTGTAAAATGCTCCCCCTCCCTTTTTTTCCAGTCCACCAATAGACAATGGTTGGTGACCTCTGCTCTACCACCTCTATTGGAGCTTGCTAGTTGGCCGCTTCACCTCCTTTGTGCTGGGCAGGGGTCCTGCTCCAAGTGGTGGTGACGGTGGTGGCCTGATGGACCTTCTGCTGGCAGCGGTGGTGCGCGTGCTAACAGAGAGGGCTCTGAGTGCCGCCTCTGGCACACGTGCCATAGGTTCGCCACCACTGGACTAAATCATAGTCGACTTGACTATATGTTTTGGGGCTCAAAGTGCTTTCTATTCTGGACAATTGCTTTTGAAACACATAGATTAGAAAAATGAGATGTTCTGGAGAAAAACTGAAAGCTCTGGAATTATACATTTGTAGATTCCCTCACTTGTTATTTGATACTTTAATTGCAAATGGAGATTTTTATGGAAAGCATATAGTCTCTCATCATGGTTTGCAGCCATTCATCTATAACTGTGCTGGCGAACCTATGGCACGCGTGCCAGAGGGGGCACTCAGAGCCCTCTCTGGGCACGTGCGGCTCGCTCTTTGGCTAGGTTTTTGCAGGAAAAAGCCATTTCTCAAACCCTTCCTAGCCAAAACAAGCCTCCGGAGCGAGCGTGCTGTTTTCAGCTTTGAATTATATCAATCCTGACACCAGAAACAGACTAACAGATGACCTGAGTGCTGCATGTGTTGCTCTCAAACTTACAAAGTATAAGTCAAAGTTAGACAAATTATCAGCATGCATACAACAGCAAAAATCACATTAATTGTTCAAAAGCAGGCCAAATGCAAACTTTTACCTTTCAGTAAAAAGTTGTTTGTATTATTGAAAGCTTTGTCATTGTGTTTTTCTTTTAAGACAAAAGATGTTAATGTATGAGTTGTTTTTTCTAAACTAAAACCTCAGTATTCAGATTAAATTGCCGTGTTGGCACTTTGTGATAAATAAATGGGTTTTGGGTTGCAGTTTGGGCACTCGGTCTCTAAATGGTTCGCCATCACTGATCTATAATCTGTACATTCAGGCAAGCAAATTTAAGATACGGTACTTTGGCAACTTTAAGAGTTAGTTAAAGTGCATTGATTATTGCACTTGTAATCAACTGTATTGATTACTTAGAAAAAAAAATGATTATTTTTGTATCTGTTGTTTTTTTGAGTACATCTGGCTTTTTAGTGCTTGAGAAACTCATATCAAGAGGCCTCAAGATAGTGTGTCAAAACCTTGGATTCAACTTCTCAACTTTGCTATTTTTTAAAATTACAGCTTAATCAGAGAAGGAACATTAAATGCACGACATAAACATGCATTCATAATTAATATACTCATATTTATTTTACTTTTATATTAAATCAAATTTCTTTCGCTTTGTCAAATGCAATTTGCAGCATGAAAAATCTTGTGCATTTTTGGAATAAGTAATTGGAACTAACAGTAAAATATCTGTTTCTTGCTAGTTGTGATTACTATATGTTTATTCTACAGTCACCCTGTTTGTTTCAGTTTAAACCATGTCGAAATCCTTGAAAAAGATTGTAGAGGAAAGTAGGGAGAAAAATATATTGGAAGTGGACATGTGTGAGCGTGGCATATCAAACATGTTGGATATACCTGGATTATGTAAGTATTTTGCTGCTTCTCTCATCTTAGTTCAAGTTTAATCATTTCTGCAGGCATAAATATGTTTCCACAAGGATTTGGTAGGTAAGGGGCAGATTATCTTTGAAGGATAATCTTGAAAAATGTTTTGATTGACTAATGCATTTGAATAATACTTTCCTTTTATTGTGTGGTTTTGCCTCTTGATCACACTTTTCGTAAATCAGTCTCAAGAGCTGCTAATGCACAATAGCAAAGAACTAGGAAGTCTGAGTTTCAAATTTTAATTTTTTCAGGAATTCAACATGCAGCATAAATAAATAAACCTCTTTCCTTATTAGTTCCCAAGTGTGATGTGGCAGTAAGTATATATTACTGCACAAGATTTAATGATTAGCTTGATATTTATATGAAAGCCTTGTATATAGATATATATTTACTGCTGTTAATAACAGTAATAGTTGTGATGATTTTATACTATATCTGAGATTCAAGGCATCATGTGCCCAGATTCTGGCTTCCAGTAAAATAGGAAAATAAGGCCTTGTTCATTGCTTGCTTGTGAGTTTCAAAGGACATCTGGTTGGCCATTAAGGGAAACAATGTATTAGACTAATTAGATCTATGATTTCATTCCATAAGTATTTGTTTAAGATTATTTTTTTAAAAAAATTTAAATATTCGCAACCTGAAGGCCAAGTTTCATACATATTACTTCCCTGAAAACCATCAAGAATCTTTTCCATATTAGTTTTATAGTGAAAAATGATGCACAAATTAAGTGTGACTTACAGCCTCATAAAAAATTTCACACCTTAGTCAAAAAAGTCTGTAAACCCATATTATTAGGTTGAATTCAGAGGACTTTTCCCCTTCCAACAAGACTCTCTAAGCAGAGTGTGGCTCAGTACATTTTATGTACTAAATTGAGAACTTGTTAAGAAAATATATTAATTTGAGATTACTAGTTAGTAATTAGAGCTATTTTTTCAGGCTTAACTATAAACTCATGGGATGATAGTCAGTGTTGTGTGGACAGACTTTTCCAAAACAGCCTTCGTACAACTTGTTCCCTAAACAACTATGACCAGAAATGGAAGAGGAACTATTCTACTGTCTGATGCTTTTTTAAAAGTCAACATATACTATTGGAAGCTGTTTGTGACTCACAATAGAATTTAAAAAAACATTTTTTTTCTCTTTCCCATATTTTATAGTTACATTTATATATATATTGAGCAATGATTTTTGTGCCCTTTCCATTGCCATTCTGTTGTTGACTTTGTCTTTTGACAGTGCTCTAACATCTGGATATGAAGGTTGATTTTCCCCCCTAAAATAATTTACCTTTTAAATGAGTCAGTTATCATAAATTTGTGGAGAATGGTATGAGAAGCAGGAATGTTCTTAATATGATTTACAAAAGTAGTTCAAGAATTTTGAGATCTAAATATTGCAAATCATTAAATGACAAAATTCCAGTTGAATAAAGTACTATAATGTTCTTTACAAAATTACATTAACTAAAGCTTTCAGAGGAAAACAGCTCAAGTATACATACTGTCTTTTGCTCAGAATGAAAGGCAGGACATATGTCATACAATAAAATACCAATATATGTTTTTCTGATAGTTCATGTTTAACTGCTTGTGAGTACAGGTACTGCTTGACTTACTACCACAATTGAGCCCAAAATTTCTGTTGTTTAGCAAGACAGTTGTTAAGTGAATTTTGCTTATTTTATGACCTTTCTTGCTATAGTTCTTAAGTAAACCACTGCAGTAGTTAGTAACATGGATGTTAATGAATCTGGCTTCTCCATTGATTTTGCTAGTCAGAAGGTCACCAAAGGTGATTCTATGATCCTGGGATATCATATTATAAATATGTGCCAATTGCCAAGTGTCTGAATTCTGATCATGTGACAGTGGAGATACTGCAATGGCTATAAGTGTGAAAAATGATAAGTCATTTTAAGTGCCTTTGTAACTTCAAACAGTTATTAAAAATGCTTGTAAGTGAAGAATTACTTGTAATCTGATTTGTTGCTACCTTCTAGAGCAGGACTTTTCAATCTTTTCACCCATTGTACCACTTTTAGAAGATGGCAACATCCGAGTACCACCAGTCGCCTAGCAAGGTGTCAAAAACTTGATGACCCCCCCCCAAAAAGGAAAAAAGTGATAAAGTACAGGTAGTCCTCGACTTACAACAGTTCGCTTAGTGACTATTCGAAGTTACAATGGCACTGAAAAAAGTGCTCCCCAAGCCACAGCCGAGCAAGACACCTGCCTGCCCACCCGGTGGCACACTTCCTCCTGTTCGAGGTTTCTATTGTTGTGAGCATTTCTGTTGAGGATTGGCAGCGGGGGTGGGGTGGGGGGTGTTTGGTTTTTATTCCCCCGTCTGCTGGGTGGTTACAGCAGGTTTTGGTCATTTCATACGATCCTGGGACACTGTGACTGTCATAAATATGAATCAGTTGCCAAGCATCTGAATGTAAATCACAAGACCCTGGAGATGCTGCAACATTCCAGTTGATCGGCGCTTCTTCTGGGCTCAGCAGAAGCGCCAGGATCAGAGCCGAGCTCCAGCTGGAACCTGACACTGATCCTGGCACTTCCGCTGAGCCCTGACAGCCCCGAAGCGCTGATCCTGGTGCTTCTGCTGAGCCCTAGCAGCTCTGCAGCTCCAGCTATCTCTAGCTCAGGCTTGTGCGGTGCTGCCACTGGTTCAGCTCATTCCCCTCCCCCGCTACCACTTTTCTAGGATGGTCGCATACCACCTGCCAGGTCCCAATGTACCACAGATACCCGTACCACTGGTTGAAAAGCCCTGTTCTAGAGGACAGGACTACGTCAATTTCTTGATAGTATAATTTCATGTTTTACTTCTGTTAGTGCTAAGAATTACAGGACTGAAAAATACTATTTTCTAAGACCATTCTTTAATTTTATTTCATAGTATGTTCTGTGAATATTTTCCTGATTGTAGAGAAATCGGGATGAAAAAAGTATTTTGTGGATTAGTAATCTCTCCCTGAAATCTTCAGAGACAGACAAATTTTAACTCTATGCTAATTATCTTATAATTAATTCAGTTCTGCTGTAAGAGATTTTCTTTTTCATGATGTGACATTAGTGAAGTCGTAACAGCTGTCTCAAGAGTTCCCTTTGTTTGAAACATTAAATTATCCAATCAGAAATTATAATATTGTTTAATAATGCCAAAGATGTTTATGTTATTTATTAGTTTAGTACAAGATAGCTTATTAGGCAGTTGCTGCACTTCAGCTAACATTGTGGCATTTGGTTAATTAGATAGTAGTTGTAACTATCTAGACCATATGGAAAAAGAATTAACTCTTCTTGACTAGAAGAGAATTAAAACAACATCAAACATTTCTCAGAACCTAAACTAGAACATACTGATTCATTTTCAGTTACTAGTAACTTTAGCTTAAGCTGGAGAAACAGCAGAAATGACAATGCTTGGATTTTTGTTCCATTGTTTAATTTTTAATGCAGTTTTAAGGCAGGAAATATACAAAAGAAAAAAATTACCAAACAAAATTGTTTCCCAGGGATACATTCTGTCCCCACATTTAAAAATTGTTATCAGGATGTTAGTATCTGAAAATGCTAACATAGGATGTGCAATTTTATATAAAATATTGGAAAATCACAGCCACTGAATTCAGTAGATGTTATACCTGAATGAAAATGTATAAAGTTATACTGATTATTTCAGCATAATTTAAAACATTATTTCTAGAGGCAAAAGCACATAAAATATTCACATTGAAAATCAAGATTAGATTGCATGATTTTTCTATATCATGCAAATTTTTATTTCCAATACATGAATGGCTGCAGCCTTTTTTAAAAGTAAAACTAAATAGGTCATAGGTGCCACATGTGTATTTATACTACACTTAAATATAGCTATTTCTGGATTCTGAAAAGGCATAATTCAGTTTCCTGAAGCATGTGAAACTAATAAAGCTTGGTAAATGGGAAAAAAAATAACAATAAAATCAACACTGATAAATTGAAGCAATACATGATATTTACTTATGGGAATTGGGATGTGTGAGAAATGGAAGCAATGTTTAAATGTTTGTAAATTACTACACTTCTTGCTTTAAATTATTGAATAGCAGTTTGGAGTGTTTATTTGAATACATACATACATGTATTCATATATGTATTCAATTATGTGTGTGTGCATTTTCCCTTTCATTGGCTTGTTTTAATATTAAGAAAAAGTAAACCCTCCTTTGCGTTGAATTCTTTGACTTATGATCAAGTAGAATAATAAACGGTGTAAATTAAATAAACCAAGTACATAAATAAAAGGTAAGTCTTCTGTGGCGTGCTTCCTTGGCAAACTTTTTACACTAGTCTCCGCAGTAAAGGATTTATTTTTGCTATTTAAAAATAAATAAATAATTGTATTTGCAGAAAAACATTATTTACTGGTCATTTTGTTTATCATCCTTGTCTCTAAATTATTGCAGGATAATTTATGGACACTGTAACTACCGTTTTGAAATAATAGACCTAATTTGACTAGAAAACAGATTCAGTTTGGAAGTAAAAGTTTTATGCCCCATCCAGGCAAGTCCCCTGTTAATGCAGTTCCTTTCTTTTTTAAGACAATCATATGGCAAAGGCATATCCTGGGTCTTAATCTCATTCCTGTTCGTTGCAGTTTGAATAACTGCTTATTTTTATCGAAGCTTCACATGGCTTTGTAATCTACAAAATGAACATCCAATATTAACAATAAAAAAGAAGAAAAATCTTGTGTACAACAAAAGGGAAAAGAAAAAAAGCCAAATGTCAAATATATCTAATATTGAACATAAAGAATCCACTCCAGCTGGATGCTGAAAAATAAATAAATAAATAAACTCATAGGTTCTCTTTCCCTTACATAGCAAATCTACAAATAGTTATAAGCTTTCCCATCCTTTTTCTTTAAACAAAAATACTATACTAAATATCAGACTGAAAAAT